GGAAATCCAGAAGGTGAAGAAGATACAACTAAAATTGCCTTTAACGTACATTTTTAGAAGGCTATCTATGTGCCCATATACTTCACCACTTGCCTACCGGGCACTTCCTGCCCAGGCCGATTTTTTTAGCTTTCAGCGCTATCGTAATTTGAATGACAATTGTGCAGTCATGCAACACTGTACCTATATGGAATTTCTATAATTTTTTTCACACAAATAGAGCTGTCTTTTGGTGGTATTTAAATGCCACTGGGTAATTTATTTTTTGCGCTATAAACAAAAAACTTTTTCTTTGTTTCTATTATAAAATTTTGCAAACAAGTAATGTTTCTCCTTCACTGATGTGCGTTGATGAGGCTGCACTAATAGGCAGCACTGATGGGCACTGATAGGTGCCACTGATAAGGTGGCATGGATAGGCAGCACTGATGCTCACTGATAGGCAGCACTGATAGGCACTGATGAGCTAGCACTGATGAGGCGGCACTGATGATGCTGCACTGATATGGAACAATGATGAGCAAAGACAGGCAGCACTAATGGGCAGCTCTGATGGACACTGATGGGTGGCACTGACTGACAGCACTGACTGGTGGCACTGCTGGGTGGCACTGCTGGGCACGGGTGGGTGGCACTACTAGGCACTGATGGGCACAGGTGGGTAGCACTGATGGGCACAGGTGGGTGGCACTGCTTGGCACTTGTGGGAAGCACAGGTGGGTAGCACTGCTGGGCAGAGGTGGGTGGCACTGGTGGGTGACACTGCTGGGCACTGATTATCAGGACACTGATCCCCAGTGCCCTGATGATTGGTGCCGATCTGTCCTCTGACAATTGCCAGTTATTGGCAGTACTTTCCTCATGCTGTGACAGCATGAGGAAAGTGCAGCTGATAAAAGGCAACTGCATTTACCTTGTGATCTGCTGTGTCATTGGACGTCTGGGAGGACGTCATATGATGCCCTCCCAGAACTGGACAACCACGCTGTAGCCGTCATTCAGCTATAGCGCGGTTGGCAAGTGGTTAAAGGATAAGCTCACCTTTAAAAAAAATAATAAATGCATTTTTTAGAAGTAATAAAAATTGCATTTACAGGCAGGCAGTTACATCTGACAAGGTGCTCAACAGCAACGTGGTAGTTCACTGAGAAATACAAGCTGACAAAGAATGTTGGTACTTGTTATTGATTTATTCACAGAACTATGAATGAATGACGTGGCCAAGTGGGCATAGCCCTGCACAGCCGTGCTCTTTTCAAAAAGTGCCAGCTGGTACAGGGAACTTCTCCCCAAACTGCTGTCACAGAGAGAGAGGGGAATTGGCAAGTGGCTGCAGCAGTGGGAACATGTTACATGTTCCACCCTAAAAATGGGTGGAACATGTAACATGTTCCTAAATGTGAACTTATCCTTTAACCACTTACCCTCCAGAGGATTTACCCCCCTTCCTGACCAGGCCATTTTTTGTGCTATGGCGCTGCGTTATTTTAACTGATAATTGCGCGGTCATGCAACGCTGCACCAAATGAAATTTACGTCCTTTTTTTCTCATGAATAGAGCTTCCTTTCTGTGGTATTTAATCACATGTGGGTTTTTAATTTATTGCGCTATGAAAAAAAGACTGACAATTTTGAGAAAAAAACTATATTTTTGACTTTTTGCTATTAAACATGTCCAGTAAAAAAATTTAAAAATCAAATTTCTTAATAAATGTAGGCAAAATGTATTCTGGTACATCTTTGATAACAAAAATCCCAATACATGTAAATTAATTGGTTTATGTGAAAGTTATAGCATTTACAAAAGCCGTTATATATACTGGGATTTATTTTTTTATACTAGTAATGGCGGCGATCAGCGACTTATAGCGGGACTGGCGACAGGCATTCTGACACTGGGGGAACTGACTTGGTGTCACTGACATCCCCAGTGACACTAATACAGTGGTCAGTGCTAATAAAAAGCACTGACACTGTACTAATGACACTGGCAGGAAGGGGTTAACATGTGGGGTGATCAAACAGTTAACAGTGTGTTGTTTTACTAGCGCTGTATCTGTGTGCTTCACTGTAAGACAGGGGAGAGAACTGTTTTGTTTACATACAGCTCTCTCTCCCTATCAGATGCTTGGCAATAACCGGATGCTGGCGATAATCACTTTACAGCCGAGGCCATGACTGGAGGTGCGGGTAGGGCGCATGCACGCCTCGCACGCATCCCCTGCCCGGAAATGCAAAATCACATATATATATACGTGATTTTGTACATTTGTGCAGTATTTCTGCTACAGGGTGGAAAAGCGGTTATAGATCTTTGGCCTACCATCAAAAACTTTGTCATTTTTATCAGACAGCAAACATAAGGTGCCACATCATAACTATTCATCCACAATAACAAAGAGAAATCAGGAAATTTCTTTGCCTGATTTTGTTGAAACTCACTCTACTTTGATCATGATTTGGGGGTTTATTTTTAAAATAGCAAACCCATCAAAATAAATTTTCAGCATGTCCAGTGAAGTGGAAAGTAAATAATCTAATATTACCTGCTTGGCAGCTTTCCCACAGGACATCTCATAAAGAGCAAAAGGGTAATGGGGTCCTTTGGAAATGTTACTTGGAAAACTTTTTGCCATTACAGAGACATTCATTTTTTTCAGGAAAATGTTTCAATTATGATCCATCAAAAGTACAACTCAATTTAAAAAAAAAAAAAAATATGCATATGTTATAATAAGCATCAAAGTCATAAAACTGAATGACAACTCATGGGGCCCCCGGATAATAGGGGATCATGTGGCCCCTGTGTCCTTGCCCACACTCAAACCATACTCAAAAAACCTGGGCCCTCAGGTAGTGCCCGAATGCTCAGTCCGCCCCTGAAAGCATCATCAATTTACACAGCATTTTATTTATATATTGTACATTCACAGTCCGCAACCTTCAAGGAGCACACAGTCTAAGATCCCTAACTCGCATTTATATATACATATACTAGTGTACGTTTAGACAGGAGCCAATTAACCTACCAGCATGTCTTTGGAGTGTGGAGGAAACTGGAGTAACCGGAGGAAACCCACACAGGCACAGGGAGAACATGCAAACTCCAGGCAAGTGGTGCCATGGTTAGGATTCAAACCAACGACATTAGTACTGCAGTGCTAACTACTTAGCCACTGTGCTGATGAAAGATGTAACATTTGACCTGTATACTACATCAATTAAAGAAATCTTATAAATAAATATATTATATGAAACATATTTAACCACTTCCCGACTGGCCATTGTATATAAACGGCCGGACGGTGGCACTGCAGGGTCGGGTGGCCGTTTCTAAATGGCCTCCCCGCACCCTGCTTGTGCGCGCTCCCCGGGAGCACGCAGCACCACAATCCGGTGCCCGATGTGTCCTCCGGACACAGTGAAACACTGATCGTCGGAAGGGACCTCTGTACGAGGTCCTGATCATGTGATCATTGATTGGCCAATCACTGATCACATGCAAAGTAGTAAGCAAGATGTCACTTGTGACATCATTGCTTACTACCTGTGAAATCTGTGAATGATCACAGAGATCGCGTGGTACAACAGCCTTGTACCATGTGACAAGCTGTGACCAATCATAGCTCACTCAGTATTTCTTATTGGTGCAAGAATGCAGACAGAGAGAAAAAGAAATGATTGCTTTTACATCCTATATGGGTGTAAAAGCAATCAGTGTAAAAAAAAAAATCTTCATCACCCCCCAAAAGTAGTACAGTGTCACCATGGTGACACTGTACTGCTAGGGTGACAATATGTAAAAAATAAATAAATAATAATATTAAAAAAAATAAAAATATAAAAAAAAAGGATAAAAATTATAATTTTTGGTTATAAACTAATTTGGCTTATTTTTTTTTTTTACTAAAAAGATAACGGAATAAATTTTGTCCAAGATTTATGATGAAATATTATGTATTTGCAAAATTTTATAAGAAAAACACTTTTTTTCAAATTTTTGGACATTTTCATTTACATAGCAAAAAAAATTAACATCCCAGCGGTGAATAAATACCACCAAAATAAAGTTTTATCTGTCTCAAAAAAATGGTAAAAAATTCATATGGGTACAGTGTTGCATGACCACGCAATTGTCATTCAAAGTGTGATAGCACTGAAAGCTGAAAATTGCCCTGGTCAGGAAGGGGGTAAAAGTGCCCGGACTGGAAGTGGTTAACTCCTATTTACCCATGGTTAGGCTCTAATTAAAGCCTTCCTCCTCTTCTTTCCTGATTATTTTCTGCTAATTTTTTTGTTTTATTTTATTTTATTACCATTAATATTTAATTTTATTTCATTTTCAGTCCCACTTTCAAAACCTGTGAGCAGACTCAGACACAGACACTTTATGTGCTAGAATGACTGCACTTCTGTGTGTGCAGTCGGTGTATGTATAGATTACTTTGCTATAATATTAATAATGAAGGTACTGCTGTACATGCTGAAAGTGAAAATGTAAAAAATGCTCTGGTCCAAAATGGATATAAAAGGTACAAGAGCTCAAGTGGGTTTCCATTATTAGCAGTATTGATATTACATTTTCAAGCCTGGCTGAGCTTATAAACACTTTACATGTCCTAGCTGATCAGAAGATACATAATTGCAATCAGGACAGTTGTTCATGACAGTTGTTCTTACTTTTCCCAATAATAGTTTTCCCAAACAAATCTACTAGCTAGCAGGCTCAAACATGATCCTGTCTACCCCACTCATCTGTAAATTATCTTATGTCTATGAGTGATTTTGAGGCCTTCTGAATGGCTGTCGGAGAATGCCTTTTTCACCAAACATGCTTATTCATTATTAGATGCATGATGGGCATTTTTTACAAAGACTGTTTGTGGCCAACCTACATTTCAGTTTTTTCTGCAAGTGTATTGAACTGTATCAAGTTACTATTCGTCTGATGAATGCTGACATTTAGTGGTGGTTTAGGACAACTATAACTTGTTTATTAGGGATTTTCCACATCTCTCTCTGTTCCTTCCTTCCTGTTTAGTGCTAGTTAGTTCAGTCCTAGCTGGACCCTCCCTTTTTCTTCTGTATTTCCTCAGTCATTGTTAGCCTTCGCACAGACAGGGCTTGGGGGATTCATTGTCTTCTTACACTTCAAAAGACTTGAGAAATATACTCTGTATCCAAAGTAAAATTGCGCTGGATTCAACTTTTGTGCCCAATTGAAGAGTTAAACTGCCTGTGAATGGTGCCAAGTCAACAGATGACCATACTACCTAGACAGAGTGGGTCTATGAACATATATAAATGCATATAGTGTTTTGCTTTTGAACATAGACGATTGACTGAAATTCTGACTTAATTTTGCACAAAGGTCTGTAGTCTCTGGTCATCCGCTGTAGTATGTCCACAGTCTTTGATCATCTCCTGTACTATGTCCGCAGTCTCTGGTCATCCGCTGTAGTATGTCCACAGTCTTTGATCATCTCCTGTACTATGTCCGCAGTCTCTGGTCATCTCTTGTACTATGTCTGCAGTCTCTGGTCATCTCCTGTACTGTGTCCGCAGTCTTTGATCATCTCCTATACTATGTCCGTAGTCTCTGGGCATCTCCTGTACTATGTCTGCAGTCTCTGGTCATCTCCTGTACTATGTCTGCAGTCTTTGATCATCTCCTGTACTATGTCCGCAGTCTCTGGTCATCTCCTGTACTATGTCCGCAGTCTTTGATCATCTCCTGTACTATGTCTGCAGTCTTTGATCATCTCCTGTACTATGTCCATAGTCTCTGGGCATCTCCTGTACTATGTCCATAGTCTCTGGTCATCTCCTGTACTATGTCTGCAGTCTCTGGTCATCTCCTGTACTATGTGCGCAGTCTCTGGTCATCCCCTGTACTGTGTCCGCAGTCTCTGGTCATTTCCTGTACTGTGTCCGCAGTCTCTGGTCATCTCCTCTACTATGTGCGCAGTCTCTGGTCATCTCCTGTACTATGTCTGCAGTCTCTGGTCATCTCCTGTACTATGTGCGCAGTCTCTGGTCATCCCCTGTACTATGGCCATAGTCTCTGGTCATCTCCTGTACTATGTCTGCAGTCTCTTGTCATCTCCTGTACTATGTGCGCAGTCTCTGGTCTTCCCCTGTACTATGTGCGCAGTCACAGTACATGGTTTGGCAATCATGAAAACATTTTTAAACACCTATATCTCCTGCAAAACACTATAAAATATTAGGAATTTCTGTGGTATTTGCAAAGTTTTGTTTTACTAGAAAGTTTCATTTGTTAAGAGATTTACTGTAGTTACAAGAGATTTATTGCATGTTTTCTTGAAAATTTAAATAAAATTAACAAGTTGGATGAGAGAACCTAATTTCATTCCGTAAGGTTTCACATTTTTAAGGCCTATGTGGCAGCTGATGACCCTTTCTGATTCTAATTTCTCTACAACCCACAAATTGATAGCTGAAGGTGGGGAACATGGAAGAAGCAGTTTAATGGGAACAGAGTGAATTCATTCCATGCTTTGTAACACATTTAATAAGCACACGGCAGATAATTAGGTTTCTGCTGTTCATATTATAGTGTAACTTCACAGGTACGGATAATAAAAAACACACACTGCTATAACATGACTATTACATCATTTGTCCTGTGTATTGTTCCAAAATAAGACATTTAAATTTTTTTCCCAAAGTAGATGCAGACTTAAATCATATGTTAGTGTTTATACCTAGTACATTTATTCCTGTGCAGTAGTTTTGTGCCGCAGGTCTTCTTGCACAGAGAATAACAAATTTGAAGTCTACTTGGCAATAGTTACTGATACTTAAAGCAGAGCTTCACCCAAAAGGGGAGGTTCTACTTTAAGGACTGGTCCCCCGATCCCTGTTAAGGATTAGCACCTTTGGGGGGCAGGGGGGAGCCGGTACCCAAAATTGACAGGTACCTGCTCCCACTTCCACTGTGATTGCCTAGGCGATTGGAAGCAGAAGTTGTCCTCAGCAGGAGCAGAAGTTTCCTCCCCTCCTCCCTCCCATGTGACAGGTCCCAGAAGACTATGGGTCCATTCAGAAAGCGCAGCCCTACTTACGCATGCGTAGTGGGCACCTGGCTGCGATGCTCTGGGAACACAGGACAGTTGGTGAAACGGGCTGAAGGGAGGACACCGCAGGATTGAGGGACAGGTGAGTGGCTGTTTTTAAAAGTCATCAGCTATAGTTTTTGTCTTACGCTTACCTGTCCCCACTTCTGTGTGTGAGTGATAGGGAGCACCTCAAATGAAGATCCATAGACATTTTAGGTTTGTTCAGGTTTTATTGGTAACTGGTAAAAAAAACATATATCTAATCTGTTCTAGGAAATTTAGAATCCCCTTTCTTTGTGGCTCTGACAGGTGATGTGACAGGTGTATGCTGTGGAACCCCTTTGATGACTGTTATTGGGTTTTAAGGTTGATGCAAAGTACCATGCATTGTTTGGTGTGGCAACCTCCTTTGACGTTCACACTCCTGGCAGATCCACGCTGTAAACCCTAAGGGGAGCCAGAGCCACAGAGCCATCACTGGAAACTCTCTCAGCTGGTCCTGACGTCTTCTGTGCATGTAGAAACAAAATTATATTAATTTCTATGGAGAGTCCAGCTATCACGTGACTCGGTGATAGAGGTCCTCTGCATAGAGTTAAATGGGAATTTTCCAGGCATTCGCAGAAGATTTTGGAACCAGCCAGGTGAGTTTCTATAAGCGACTGTAGGATACAGAGTATTGGCAAATCTAAAATGTTACATTTTAAACTGGTAGTGGAGGCGAGGACATCTGTTTCAAAGACAACTGTACATTTTACCTATGAAAAGTTTCCCTATTACATCATGTTTGGTGACGTGAAATTTTCCTAATGGTTCACAGATAGCAAAAAAAATTAAAAATACACGAGTTCTAAACATTCCCTACTATATCCAAAACACGAATGGTTTCGGATATGCTTTGGCAAAACTTAAAGATATTCCTTTCTTTAGGCAAGTTGATATTTTGTCTTTTGTGGGACCCTCTCTAGATGGTTAAAGCAGAAATACACTGCATCTGAGCACAAAAAACCAAAAACACTGCTTAATTAATTTTTCATCTTCAAAGCAAACCCACCCATCCATCCATGTCTCCATGCTTTATATTGCTGAGAAACCACTTTGAAAAGCACTCCTAATGTTCCTGGCTGTGACCATCTTAAATAATGTCAGATGACTCATGTAGCATTTACTTTACTGGAAACTGTAAAGGCAGGCGGGTGTGCTTAGCTAAGAAAACCCCTCCTCCCCTCCTGAAGACTCCTGGGATGTAAGTCATCATTTGCCTAGGCCTGGGAACCGGGACGTAACTGAAAAAGTGTTACAAAAAAGTTTAAAACAAATAAACATGATATAGTTTACTATTTACTAATGCTAACAGCAGAAAAATAGTCAATGCTGATTGAGAGAGTGAATTTCTGCTTTATGTCTATTGGACACTCATAGTGCTGGAGAGGAGGCATCTTTCCTGTGCTGCCTCAGAAACTGCCTTGGGGAAACACTATGTACAGTCATAATAACCATGTAGACCAGTGATGGTCTACTTCAAGGATGGGCAACCTGCGTCTCTCCAGCTGTTGTGGAACTGCATTTCCCATGAGGCATTGCAAAGACCGGAAGTTACAAGCATGACTTTACAGATCCCATGAGACATTGCAAAACTGACAGTTACAGCTATGACTTGCAGAGGCATGATGGAAATTGTAGTTATGCAACAGCTGGAGAGACGCAGGTTGCCAACCCCTGGTCTACTTACTTGATGCAGTGGGCCTCAAGTGAGCCCCTGACCTCGATGAAGGACCGCACATAATATGCAGCAAATCTATTTTACATAAAACAGCCAGAGACTACTGCAAACATGCAACAGGAGATGGTCAAGGACTGTAGACATGCTATAGAAGTTGATGGAGATTGGGGACATGCTTCAGGGGATAGTCATAAATGGGACAATCATTAAAAGAAATTGCTAGATATCACTTTACATCACATTTTTGCTCCCTATAAACCCCTTCAAAATTTTTTGTGCCACATATGATATTTCTCTCAGCATTATAAAAGTTGAAGAAAAAAAAAATAAAAGAGAAGAAATGATAGACCATGCAGAAAAAAATTAAGATATTATGAATGTCATAAACCAAGCCATTTACCTACAATAAGCCAATTGATAGAATATTGTCTTTATAGGCTTGAATAAACATTAAAACATGGAGTACTACCTTCAGGAGTCACACAATAGGCACCAAAGGGCCACAGACATATCCCCCTTCCAATATAGTGAAGGGCTACACATCTTATCACTATTGTGCAAAGTTTAGTATTCACAGCAGCCATCCAGAAGCCATCTTGGGCTGGTCTGAATTTAGAAAAATTAATTCTGATTTGTTGCTCTAGATATTTGAGCTATGCATGGGTACTTTTTTCACTATTTATTGGACAAAAGGTTCTGTTGCTCAAGGGAAAAAAATTGGAAAAAAACCTTTATTGCTCTAGGTGCTGCTGCAGTGAAAAGTATCACCTCCCATAATGGTACCACCTCTCCAAACAATCAGTCCATTTCAGCAAAGCTCATTTCCCCTGGGATTTGGACTTGACAAAGCCCTCTAATCTCATGTCCCAGCAAAAAAAGGCTTCAGTGCATGTAAACAACTAACAGTTCAGGTGTGTAATAAGGAGCTTTATGAGTCATGCGACAGAAAGTAGAGCTTTTTGCATCCTTATAGTCCAATGTTTTTATTTTTACAGATTTTTAGAAAAACATCTAGGTTTAAATTGCATGTAGCCCCCTGGTTAACGAACTGTGTCAATTGTTAGCAAGTTTCCTATATCTGACGCAGCTGACAGAATTCACAGTTCTCATCCTTTTATTTGTCTTCCTACAAGGATATGTTTGAAAATTGGGAAAGGTGATCTTTTAGGTAGAACAAAATGGTAACAATAGCTTCTTCTCTTATAAACCGTGCTAATTATGTCCAGAGCTATGAAAACCAGCACTGAAATCTTTCATTAGTAATAGTATATAATAAGTCTATATCTAGGGTCATTTAACTTTTTTGTCAATTTATGAAAGCTGGGTACACACTATAAGAAAATCGAAAGAAAAATTCAGTTTGAGGAACGATCGTTCGATGTTCGTATAGTGTGTACACAACTTTCAGCATCCGATTAAGACTTTTCAAACAAAAAATTTCCAAAGGGACAAACTCCAAAATGTTTCTCTTACATGAACAGAACTAATGATTTTTGTTTAATGTGTAGAAATGTACAAAGTACATCTTTAAAGAACTGCAGTCTATTTTTAAAATGATACACAATAAAGGTATAACTTTAATATAAACAGGTATATCAAGGTATGTTTATGATTGTTTGTAAATGAGAGCAGCCATTTTTGCTCATTGCACTACGCGTGCTCTGGTTCCCTTGCTGATTGTCACCTACTTTGCAGGTAAACATTAGACAATGGGAATCTCCCATGGGACTTTCAATGGTAATAACAACAATAATATATTACAGATAATATATGTAAAAAATGTACAGTCAATTGTATTATATATCAATAAATACATAAAATCACATGCTTAGCAGAATCATATAAATGAGATAAACAAAGAGACAAAACCCCTAATCTGATGGGAACTAGCTCATAGTACACCCTGCTTAAAAATTTCTTCAAGGGATGAGTCCCTGCCAGAGAATTCCATTTCAATTTAATTAAATTCTGAATCATCTTCAGGAGGGGGTTTGCTATGGTGCTACCATAAATGACTCAGAGAAGAACTTAAAGTAGATGCTCGAATCTGGGGTCATGAGTCCTTGAAAACTCACCTAGGATGGTCCATGGATGTGCCAGAGAAGCCCGAGAGGATAGAAGCACAATTGTCACAGAAGATCCTGCCAG